AGCTTATTATATTTAACAAAGGCACGGTTCTGGAGCCAAACTCCTCTAATTATTAACCGATAAGATATATATTTGTACGTAAAAGCATATGATATCATCATTTAGGATTTAGGGCCTAGGGGTCCATTTTTCCTTCAAATTTATCTTTGTTCGGTTAGGTGTTTTAGTTTAGATAAGACTTTGATCCACTAGATATTATTAGGTGGTAACTGAATTGATATTTATAAACTGAATCAATCTCTGTTAGGTGATAAATATTCTTAACAATTTTCTGCCTCGAAATGAATAATTTATACCTTGACAGAGTTAATTTTAGTGAAAAGTTCCTCTACTGTACTTTAGTTCTGGATTTTGGTACACCAAAAATTTTTGGTTTGAAATTTACTTCAATAACTTCTATTTTGTGTCTAGAAAAAATAACTGATAATTTTAATTTAACTTTCCGTTGATTACTTATATGGGATAACATACCTAAAGGAGTATACCGGCCGAATAAGTCAGCTCGGCGAGCCAATTGAACAGACCGATCGAATTGTGCTGGTCGAGTAGATACAAAAAAGGCGGTCGTGGTCGAACATCACTAGAGTAAGGGCACGTGGATTAGAAGACGACATAGAGATTGATATCGGTATAGGGAGAATAGGTTGTTCCCAGACTCATGGAGGGTCTGGTAGAGGATCGACCTGTGGTGCAATTGGTTGACCGATCGACCACTTCCCAGACTTGGGGCCGACAGTGGATTAACCCGGACTCGATCGAATACTAGAGCCTTCAAGGAGATCTTAGAAGAATTAAATGCCCATGTGCGGAGGACACGTGGCACAACCCGATTGGTCCTTAATTACTAAATAACCGTCTCTGACACACACGCACATTGTGTGTGTACGAACGGGCAGGGCAGGCAGTTTTGGACAGTCATCTCAACTCATTTGGGCAACATCTAGAAGCAGGTACTTCACCCCTATATATAAGGGTGAGCTTTACGTCTTGAATCTTGAGAATTGAATAGAGTTTATATTGACTTAAGCATCAGGGGCGTTCAACCGGCGAGGCGGATTTCGAGCTAGCCATTTTCAATCGGTAGGAGGATTTGACGTACTATTTTGCCGCCGTCTGTGAGACTTTTGTTCGAAAGGTTGTGTGCTGAAGTTTGTGCTGCTGTGTAGCTATGGTGGATGGAATTCTCAGAATGAATTTGCAGCCATCGTTAGATGAATTCTCAGAATGAATTTGCTAAGCTTGTGGGGGATATTAGTGATATAGCACTTTTAGAATAAATTGGCAACTTTAGAATAGCAAAAGTTTATTTTACCTATAAGCAATTTTTACTTATCACACTAATATATAAATGCACACTAACAATTTTGTAAGCTCTAAGGGCATGCTTGTTTATAAAATATTTTCCTCACAAAATATTTTTATTCAAAATCTAACTCAACTTTAAGTCAACCTCACTATCTTTAATATTATTTATATAACTAAATAATATAAACCAATAATTTTTACATATCACATCAACTTTAATTCATTATTCATCCACTCACATAATTTTAACTACCAATCATTTCCAATCATTTATCTCTTACTTTTACATCAAATCAATAATAATCATTTTATTTTAAATATTAGTTTAATACATTATTAAAATCCCACTAATAACTAACCATACTCACCTTTTTTAAATTTAACTCTAGTTAACCAAAATATTTCATTTTAAGCAAAATATTTCATAAACAAGCACACCCTAACATTTTAGTTTAATGAAAATTTGTCTTCATTCTCTTCCTCTCTATTCTCCGCTCTCTTCCATTGCACGATCCATCGATCTCTCTAAACCTTGATAAGTTGACTGTAAATTAGCCGTCGAAGACAACAAATTCATGATGTCGATGAGCTGGAACTTAGATATTAGATTCTCAGTTAGCTAAATAATATTCAATATTTTATCACAAGATAATATTAAAATTTTATGAAATAGTTATTTTAGAAAATTAATGTTGAACATATCTCATGCTCGGATGAGCGGAGGCAGTCATATGCTTTGCCTGAGCTGTAGCCCGGATGCCCCTCATGCAACCATTAATTTAATAGGATATTTATTAAAAGGTAAATATCGAGTCCTCTTATAATAAACTTTATGTTTTTTACATTAGTTTATCTTTTATACTTAGTTTCACCTTTTATGTGTAATTTATAGAATAATTAATATTCTAATTATATCTTTCATTTATTTTTAATGTTCTTTTGTTTATTAATTATATACTAAATTTTGCTTATTTTGTTTATTTTTCAATTTATATACTTCACATTAAATATTCAATATCGAATGTTCATTATTTAATATAATTTTTATTTGGTGTATATTTTGGACTAATTTAGTGTTTAGTTGGCCACATTATAATTTATTTTAATTCTAATTTAGTGTTTATTTTTCACTAATTTAGTATTTAATTGGTCACATTTAAAATTTGTTTATAAATAATTTTAGTCTGGGTATATATTGAATCCTGGCTCCGCCCTACTCAGATCATCAACAAGATGTTAACGAATGCAGACAATCATTTANGGTGGTTGGAGGAAAGGGTGATTTATATATAGTTGATAATAGAATAATATGACGAAACTTTCGAAAGATAATGTCCAACATAGCAAAAAATAAAGATTAGTCGAAATTGTCTCAAAATTTTAAAATATTAAACAAAATAAAAACCTAATAAAATATTGAACGAAATTATCACATAGTTAGTAAGTTTACCAAATTACAACCCAAAATGTTATTAGTGTATAGAAATGGAAAACAAATAAAGCAGTTGTATCAAAGTTTTATTTTTCTCATTACTCTTACCTCACAAATATTAAAAATAAAAGATGGCTTCTGCATAGGCTTGTAAACAAATTAAACTTTTTTGATTCGATTCGATATTCGGATTCGATATTCATGATTCGAATTCAAATTCGAATACGAATAATATTTTATATTCGAAAGTTAAACAAATTCGAATTCGAATTTGGAGATATTCGATTCGAAATTCAAATATTCGATTCGTTAACAATAATTATATAAATTTTATAAATTATATATAGTATACATTTTGTTTATAATATATATGTATATATATATATTGCTATATTTCTACTATTTTTATGACATAAAAATTAAAACATTATAATTAACAAATCTTCCTAAAAATATATGAAAAGTAAAAAATATTTTTTGTAATTATAATATCTTTTAATTATATTTTTTTTGAAAACGAATTCGAATCGAATCGAATATGTTCGAATATTCTAAAAGAATCGAATACGAATCAAAAAATGAGTTCGTTAATGAATCGAATACGAATTCGAATCTTCGAATATTTTAACGAATCCGAATCGAATCTCTGCACCTCTTAAATTTTTTGATAAAACGGAAAATTAGAAAAGGTCGGTTTTAGGGGGAAACGAAGGTAGTTTTGAGATTAAAATAAATAAATAAGAGGAGATGATATAATAATTAAACTTAATATGATATAACAATAGTATAATTAATTGATAATGATTGATAAAGTTGGTATAATATAAAAATTATATAATATTAATTAATCGTGATTAATAGTTTCAAATATGAACAGGATAATTAATAGTATTTTTTGTTGAAAATATTTAGTAATTTTTTAATGTTATATGTAATTGTGTTAGATTTTTTTTTTTTTTTAAANTTGTCATTATTATTTTTAGATAAATCTTGGCTAAACATACAAAATAAAATATTTTCGTCATCCAATCGTATCCCGAAAATAGACTAAATCAACTTTCGGCGTAACGACTCTTCAGAGTTTGATTTGAGCCGTAATGTGACCAATGGAATGGTGTATAGACAAGTTAAAACACCCTCGGCTTTCTGCTAGCCCAAAAGATATTCCAATACCAACACGCTCATTTTGGTCGTATATGGGCTGCTTGATTAGATTAACACTCATGCTCTCTAGCCCAATACCGAAACCAACTTTAAGGCAAAGTTTCGTTATTGTTTGCAGAAAGTGACTCCGGCAACAAATTTCTCCGATCACCATTAAACTAAACCATTTTATCATTTATCAATTTGATAAGGATCCAATTTTTTCTGACCTGGACCAATCTGTCGAGTTGAGTCAAAATTGGAGCCGGTTTCGGTGGGTTCTTCAAACTAACTAACAAAGGACCCGTTCAAGATAAAATATGTACTCTGCCTCTCACTTTTTCCACTTTTTCCCTTTCGCACAGTAAAAGCTAGGGGTGTTCACGGTCTGGTTTTAACCGGAAAAAACCGTCAATTCGGACCGCGGATCGGTTAAATGGTCAGTTAATAAAGTCTTAAAAAATCTGGTGGTTAATTTTTTTAAAAATCCGAAATTACCGGTCCGGTTAACGGATTAACTGCGGCAAACCGCCGGTTTAACCGGACCGGACCGGTATATATTAAAAAATTATAAAATATATATATATATATATATATATATATATATATATATATATGGAGATGGTACAATTAGGCCAACTTAATATTGGGCTCATCCAGGAACTTGAGAGGCAAATTAGGCCCAGCATAGAAGAATTAGGAGCTAATTGGGCGCTTTCGTATAATACTATAATTCACTTTTCCCACCTTCATTTTTCATTTTCAGATTTTCCCACCTTCAGCTCCTATTTTTTGAGTTAACCCGAATTTTTCTTCCCACTCTCAGCCCCGAGGCTTCTCACTTCTCAGTTCCCGACCTTTTTTCTGACTTATTTTTTTCTTCAATTTTCTACCTTCTTAGGCTTCCCTCACGACAGTCGCCGACACCCTCTTCGTTGTCGGCGCCTCAAACACACCCCGACTTTCGCTCACATCACAACAGCCGCCGCCCTCTTCGTCGTCGGGGCGCCGCAAGCACAGGTGTGTTCTCACATCCCCAGCCCTTTCTCATTAATCTGATCAAATTCAAATCTGATGTTTTTGATTTATTTATTTGTTTTCNTCAGTTTTCTGATTCAACATGGAAGAGCAAGACATAAATGCTGATGTTGAAATGGGCAACAGGATGATGATAATCCTAAGAACAATGATGTTGAAGAGATTGAACCCGGTAGTAAAAGAAGAAAGAAGTCAGTTGTTTGGGACCATTTTATCATACCGAATCCAATTCCACCAAAAGAGGCACGCACACATTGTAAGCACTGTTCCAAAAGTTATGCTTTTGATCGAACTAATAATGGAACTAGTACTTTGAGGTATCATTTGCCAAAATGTGCGAATAATATACTCAAAGTTGATAAGCGTCAGTCCACACTTACTTTTAAACCGAAACAGGAGGGTGGGCAATTAGTTCCAGTTCAGTTTACAAAAGAACTGGGTGAGAGGGCTCTTTCTATAATGGTTGTTTCTGATGAGCAGCCCTTTAGGTTTGTTGAGAAAGAGGGGTTTTTGTACTTTATGAGTGTAGTAAGACCAGAGTTTCAAATACCGAGTCGTACTACAATTGCTAGGAGAGTCTTGTCACTGTATTCAGATGAAAAGAAAAAACTGAAGCATTTCTTTTCTAGTTCCTCTCAAAGGTTTTGTCTTACCACAGATGCATGGACTTCATGTCAAAACATCAATTACATGGTTTTAACTGTGCATTATATTGATGACAATTGGGAATTGCAAAAAATGATTTTGAATTTTGAAGTTATTTCCAATCACAAGGGTGAGACAACTGGGAAAATGATTGAGAGTTGTTTGCATGATTGGGGTATTAGTAGAATTTTTACAGTGATGGTTGATAATGCAAGCTCAAATGATTCGGCTATTTCTTTTTTGAAACGAAAAATTCATAATAAGGGGACTGCAGTTTGAAATGGTGATTATTTGCATATGCGTTGTTGTGCGCATGTTCTTAACTTGGTTGTGACTGAGGGTTTAAAAGAGTATGATCCGGCTATCCAAGTTATTAGAAATGCAGTAAGATATGTTAGATCTTCTGTTGCAAGGTTGAAAGAGTTTAGAATTTGTTTGAGAAAAGAGGAGTTGAATGATAAAGCAAATGTTTGTTTAGATGTTCCCACTAGGTGGAACTCCACTTTTTTGATGTTGGAGTCAGCTTTGAAATATAGGAAAGTGTTTGAGCGCTTAGAGGAAATTGGACAGTACTCTCAATTCTTTTGTGGCTCTAGTGATGTTTTGAAGGAACAAGGGGCATCTAAAAATTGTGATGTGAATAGAATTGGGCCACCAAGTTTCATGGATTGGGAGGTTGCAAGTAATTTCATGAATTTTTTTGTCAATTTTCTTTGAAACTACAAATCACTTTTCAGGGTCTTTGTATGTGACTTCAAATAATTATTTTCATGAACTGATGAGTTTTCATGAACATCTTGCTGAGGCTATTGAAAGTAGTGATTATGAAGTGAGCTCTATGGCTTTTAATATGAAGAGAAAATTTGATAAGTATTGGGAAAATGTGGAAAAGATGAACCCTTTGTTATATGTTGTTGTGGTATTTGATCCTCGCTTTAAAAAGGATTATGTGGATTGGTGTTTAGAGGAGATGTATCCTGATGCTACCGTTGCAAATAATTTGAAGGTAAAACTAAGTGAAACTTTGACAAGGCTTTATGATTTTTATTCTTCTCAACATGCTCCAAATTCTAATGTTTCATCATCTCAAAACGATAGTAACTCGGGTGTTGGTCATAAGAAGACTGTTAGTGTGAAAGAGAAGATTGAAATGCAGTATAAGTCTCGCTTGCAATCAAGGGTAAGTGATGGTGTGAGATCCGAGTTGGAGAGTTATTTATCAGATGCAAAAGAGAGTGATGATGAGTCTTTTGATTTGTTAGTTTGGTGGTAGTTGAATTCTTCAAAATATAAGATTTTGTCAATGGTTGCAAGATATGTAATGGCTGTCCCACTTTCTATAGTAGCTTCAGAGTCTGCATTTAGTACCGAGGGTAGAGTTTTGGATCCATTTAGGAGTAGCCTTTCTCCTAAAACAGTGCAGGCTCTTATATGCACGCAAGATTGGGTTCGAACTGCCTTTAAGAAAGAGAAAAAGAAGCCTGATTACCGGGAGGCCTTGCGAGAAATAGAAGAGCTTGAGAAAATAGAAAATGGTACACTTCAATCATAACTTTTCTTATTTTATTTATTAGTGCATTATTAATGTTATACTATTTTTCTAACTTTGGAATATCTTTGCTTTTATTTCAGATTTTGCATCATTGAAGATTTGCACAGATGACATTGATGATTGAATGTAGGGCGTATTCTCAAGAAAGTATTTACTTGCTTGGTTTCAAAACTAATGAATGTTGGTGCTAAGTATTAAGTAATATATTTGTTTTTATATATTTGTTATTTTAAGGGA